GTGTTACTGTCCAGGCCAGCACCTATCACAATGTAGGTGCTCAGGAAATGTTTATTGAACTATAGAAATGCAGGGATAGTACTGACTTTCTCTTTATTCCCTTCTGAGGAGTTGCAATTGTTCATTGCATTGTTCCTAGTCAGTAATCCAAACAGAAATCACTCCCATTTTAAAAGTCCTGGTTCTGTGCTGCATGACTGAAGGATGTCTAAACAAGTGGTTAAACTTTGGGCCCCAATCCAAAGAGCTGACGTTCTTGCTGTGGTCTCAGTCCCAAAAGAGTGTGCAGAAAGGAGTTCTGGAGAGAAGCCCTGTCAGGAGGCTGGGACAGGCAGAAGTGGGGTGAACCTAGGATTCAGGGCCCCAAGTCAAGGAGCCATCAGGTGGGGAGGGGAGGGAATGATGGTGCCACCATGTGGCAGGCACTATACATGCATTCTCTCATTTAATAATTCCAATGGTCCTCTGAAGTTGTTACTTTTAGCCACATTTTATAAGGAGAAAAAAACCTGTGAGATTGGTATTATTCCTGTTTTACAGATAAAAGCTCAAAGTAGGTGTATTAGTCTGTTCTCACATTGCTGTAAGGACATACCCAAGACTGGGTAATTTATAACGGAAAGAGGCTTAATTGACTCTCAGTTCCACAGGACTGGGGAGGTCTCAGGAAACTTACAATCATGGTGGAAGGGGAAACAAATACATCCTTCTTCATATGGCAGCAGCAAGGAGAAGTGCAGAGCAAAGCAGGGGTGGGTGAGGGGAAGCCCCTTATAAAATCATCAGATCTCGTGAGAACTCACTCACTATCACAAGAACAGCATGACTCAATTTCCTCCCACCAGGTCCCTCTCATGACATGTGGGGATTATGGGAACTACAGTTCAAGATGAGATCTGGGTGGGGACACAGCCAAACTATATCAGTAGGTAAGAAAATTGTTCAGCTAGTAAAGGATAGAGGCAGGATTCAGACCTGGGTAGGCCTAACTCTAATGTCTGTGCATGTTCTGATGCTACAGGGATTGCCTCAGGTGCTGGGAAGCCCAGAACCCAGTGGTGTGGGGTGCTTGAGTGGACTCCTACTATGGTGAGCTGGGCTGTGCAAGAGCTGCTGAGATGGTAATGAATATGAAGATCAACTTGCTGGCAGCAGACCAAGTGGCCGGTCAGCTGCATCCGAACCAAACGCTATTAAAATTTGGCCCCTATGAAAAGACAGTAAACAGGCAATTCATAGTAGAGGAGATCCAACTTGCAAAAAACAAAAGCCAAAACAAACCAAATCAAAGCAAAATAATGATATTAAAAGTCTTTCCACCTCATTAGTAAGTGGAGACATGCAGGTTAAAATACAATTTTTATAGCCATAAAATTGAAAAAATTTTAAAATCTGCCAATAGCAAGTATTGGCAAGAATCTGGTGTAAGTGTGATTACGTATTACTGGTGGGAATAAAAATTACTACTATCATGTTGCAAAACACTTTGGCAATACCAATAAAGCTAAAGATGTGGAAACACTATGCCCTAGGAATTCCACTCCTAGATTGGGATCTCTGAAGAAACTGGCACATGTTCACCAGAAGACATTTAGGAGAATATTTATAGCAGCACTGTCCATTATAGCAAAAACTGGGAAGCCACTCAGACACCCATCGACGGGAGAATGCATAAATGAATTGAAATTGATTTATATAATGAAATACCATACAACAGTGAGAATAAATTGATCATAGCTACATGCAACAAAAAAAAGAGGTTTCATAAACAAATACTGACTGGAGAGAAAAGTAAATTGCTATATTCAACATACCATTTATGTCAAGTACAAATCTTATAAAACTAACAGTGGATACATGCAATAAACCTCTGAGGAAAACAAGGGAATAATATGCATAAAACTCAGAGTAACGGTCCATCCAGCAGGAGAAATCAGAGGTATGACACCATGAAAGGTATGCAGGGGACTTCTTGATTTTATTTCTAAGACTAGAATTTCTGGATATTAGGCATATACAGCTACACCTACAGGTGTTCATTTTATTATTTGTTAAAACTTATTCTCTCTCTCTCTCTCTATATATATATATATATAATATGTACATATATATATATATTTTTCCCTTTCAAAGGGATAATTAATGTTACCAAAAGAGCTCTGAAGTGTATAAAACAAACTAAAAGGGAAGCAAGACAATGGGCAATTGGCAATTGTATAGACAACTCCATAGATCCTCTGGAAACCAAAGGACAGTGAAGGAATTGGGATCTACATCAGGACGGGGTCACTTTCCTGGGGTCAATAATCGATTTAAGTTCTCATGTTGGCTGTTTCTCCAATGGTATCTTTTCCTATAATTGCCTTTACTTACAATAGCTCCTCCATCTACAATGCCATTCCTTTAGCTTTACTTGTCTAAAGTGTGTCCTTAAGTATTAGGTCGAATTTTACTTTATTGTATTTATTTCCCGCTTACTAAAGGCCTACTACATGCCAGACCTGGAGCAGCAAGGAGTTAACAAGTTGTGGTCCCCAGGCTTGCAGAGATGGCAGGGGAACAGGGGAGGAGACAGACAAAGGAGCAGAGAATCACACAGTATTAGTGCTCTTCCGAATTGCTGGCACATAAAAGTCAGCTGTGGAGCTGTTAAAAAGCAGATTCTCAAGCCTCCCTGGCGATTCTGGTGGAATAGGTCTGGGTGGGGTACAGGAACTTGCTCTTAGGAAACTCTCACTGAATTTGATGCAGCTGGTCCACAGACCTCACTTGGAGAAACAGGGCCTGTTGGTGTGATAAATGTGACAATGATAGCAAAGGTACTTGGGCATGGGAGCCCCAAAGTGGGTCATGTCTCCCACCTGAGGCATGGACATTAAGTCAGGGTAACCTCCAGGAGGCCCCTCTGTAGAGCATCTTCATTTGTAATTTGTAGGTGTGAATCACCTTCCCCATTGCAGTGGACACTGTTCCCAGCACAAGGCTTGGCATGCAGTATATGTCAGGGATGTTTTATTCAGTGGGGTTTCAGAGCAGCAGTCTGGACTAGGGAGCAGGCCTGGCAGCCAGGCCTTGGGTGGCAGCAGACCCTGGGGACCATCAACTCCTTGGCCTCTCTGGTATGTTCAGATTGGCCTATCTCCAAGCATGTGTTGGGGATTAGGGCAAGTTACTGGTTTGGGTCCGACTGGTATTCACATCTGAGCTGGGAACCAGGATAGCATCTGCAACCACGTTGAGATTAAGGAGACGGGATTGTTAGAGACATTTCTCCACTAATGATCCTATAACTTCTTAGCAACGAGCTTGATCTGTGCTGGAAGGATGAAAGGGATGAAGGCCAGATGGGGTAAGAGGTTTCTTATGATGGCAATAGGGCTGCTTCCTGCTTCTAGCCCCTGCTTCCCTTCCCTTTTCTAGGCCCAAACAACGCCCCTCTCTGAAGGCCTGTTAATTAAACACCTGGCATGAGTCCAGTTCTGCCAGGGACCACATGGCTGCTGTTTGTTCCCTTTTATTAAGCACATCCAGGTGAGTTTTATTGCGGACAGTTCCCTGGGCTCCTGTTTCCACATTTATCTCCTCTGAGTCTGAGATTGCCAAAGGCTTTCACAGCTAATGGACCTTACAGCTCCCAAGAGCCATTTAAGGGAGGCACAGAACTCAGTGGTGGTAATTAGTCAAACGAAATGCAGACCTCTGGAGGCCCACAGGAGCTGAATGGCAGGAAGACATAGGGACAGAAGCCTCAGGTCTGTGGCAGGTGTAGGGAATGAGCACGGGCTGCTCCTCACCCCACCTCTCCTGTTCTTCCCCTGCCTCATCCCTACCTCCCACTCGCAACCTGAGAAGGACTTGGTGCTTGGTGGCAGGGTCCCCAGGCAGGCTGGTGCCCAGGGCATTTGAGGGGCTGCAGTAGCACTGCAGAGCTAATCTTGACAAGCTCCTGCCCTCTTTTTCTCCAGCAAGTTTTGTGTACTGACCCTGATGGAGGCTGAGGTCTGAGCTCAGATGCCACTTCTTAGGAGGCAGCATAATATCCTGTTCAAAACCTGGGTTTTGATACCAGGACCATTTGAGTTTGAATGCCCAACCAGCTGCTTTTAAAGTTCTTGATCTGGGGCAAGTCAATGAACCTTTCTGGGCCTCAGCTTTCTCGTCTGTAAAATGGGGATAATAATACTGACCTCAGAGGGTTATTGTAAGGAATAGATTGTATAATAACATGTGCACTCTATAGAATGGTGCCTGGCACACTGTAAGCACATGCTCAGCAGAAGCTGTTATCATACCAAAAGCAGGTCTGATCCAGGCAGAGCTTGGAAACATGGTCTTATCTGGCACTAATGTCCCACCAGTTTCAGGTTTGTTCCTTACTGGTTGGGCACAGAAAGCAAGGCGTCCAGGGAAGCAGCCCCATTTCTATCAGGGAGGATGGTGGAGGACAAGTTGGGGAAGGAAATACTAAGCTCATCCTGTTGCTAAATATGAGGAAGAAACCAACATTTCTTGAGCATCTCTTCTAGATCAGGCATTGCCTGCTTTATCTCTTCAATCCCACAACACCCTGTTGAAGGGTGATGAAACAGAATCTCAGAGAGGCTAAGTGACTAACGCCAAGTCACATAGCAAGGAAGAGGGGTCCAGGATTAGAGGTCAGGGATGTGAGATTTCTAAGTGACTATTCTTTTATGACAATTTGCTGTGGTTGATGACCAGGGTCCTGCCTCTGGACACTTGACTTGCTGTCTGCTCTCTAGGAGGCCCATGGAAGGTTACTGATCTCCGCTGGACTCAAAGGAGAGGCCTCCAGGTGCCAGAATTTGAGTCATTCTGAGGGCCTTTTCACTGGATTGTCCCTGGCTCCACATGGGGTCCTGGGCTGTTCTGGGAAGCCAGAGCTGGCTTCCATGTAGGGGGTGCTGAATCTGTCTCATTAATGTCATGGGCAGTGGTGTTCACCCAGAATGCACAGGGGAGCTCCCTCTCTCCATCTGCAGGTGGATGGCGTTCTGTGCTTGGCCGACATCCTGACTGACGACAGCCACTCAGAGGCCACACGGGCTGAGGCTGCAGCTGTGGTGGCCCAGGTCACCTCCCCACACCTGCCCGTCACCCAGCACCTCAGTAGCTTCATGGAGAGCATGGAGGAGATCGTGACAGCCCTCATCAGTGAGTCACCCTGGGCAGTGGGACCACTAGGAGAGAGGGCCTTGGCACAGTTGTCTTCAGGAATAGCCAGGAAGGCCTTCCCATCTGTCACTCATTGCACCCCAAATATCTCCTGCATAGATGATCACATTTGCTGAAATCCCACCATTAATGGATCTGAATTAGGCTTTGATGAGCTCTGTTGTCAAGAGTTTCCTATTAAAATGTGTGTGGCCCTCTGAGAAGCAACCTGAATTATTGTCAGTTTGGGATTCAATGGCCTTTCAGAAGGGAGTCCAGGACAAGCCCTAGAAAGGAGTGGTGCCTCAAATTTTGAGGTTCAGATACTCAGATTGAGAGACTCTGATAGGCATTTTTCCTAAAGTCTCAGTCCTTGTACCCAGTGACTATGAGAGTAATGACTGGGGAAAATGGTTTCTCAGAGAGCACCAGCCCACCACAACCTGCTGCCTGAAAATCCCACCATTGGTCTCACATCATGGGGCCTTGAAAGCATTGACTCCTCTAGGTTCCCCTATTCAAACGTATGTATCCCTGGCAGGAGAATCATAGATCCGTATCTGAAATATGCTCTTTTCTTATAAATTATAGAAACTGAAAGGGCCAGTCTGGATAACAATCCCCAGGGAATTTTTTGTGACCCACCTCTTTCTTTTAAAAGTGCTAGTGCTAGTCGTGATCTGTGTTTCTATTTCTCTGTCACTCTCTTTATATCTATATCTAATTGAAATGAAATGAAAGTTAATTTCATCAGAAAATTTAGGATTAGCTCTTGGAGTGACCATGTCAGGGCTGGAAATATCTGAAATAGCACGAACTTAGGGGCAACATAGAACATTGGGCTAGGAGTCAGAACCCTGGGTTTGGACTCAGGCTTTTCACTTATCCATTCAAGTGGCTATGTGCAGCAAGCCTGTGGCGGTGCTGTGTGAGATCCCGCCACTCACTTCTTACCATGTCACATTGTAAAACCCACTTCACAGTTTTCCTAATATAAACAAGACATTGCAACTAGTTTCTCTCAAGGGTCCTTCTAACTCCAGAATTTGGAGATCTGCAAGTACTTCGCACATAGGAGACATCAGTTAAGTTGACTTTATGGCTGATTCTAGTCATGGGGGCAGTGGTACTCACAGGTCAGGCTGGGAGGATCAATTTGCCAATGTCCACATTTATTCAAAATTGAGAAAACATAGAAGCCCATTGTTGAAAGTCTTGGTTTGGGGGAGCTCAAGAGACCCTACAGTTTCAAGCATACTCTCTGGGTGAAGAAATCTAAGCCTAGAGGGGTTAAGTTACTTTCTCAAGGCCACACAACAGCACTAGGACTCACTTATGCCAGGAGTCTCATATTCAACATCCACCAGAGCCTGGTAAGAAACGTAAATGAGTTGAAGAGAGCCAGGTGGAAGAATAAAGGTGTTTGAGTCCTGTGTCAAATTGAAAAGTCCATGCACTGTCTAAAGGGGTGGTCACTGGTAAGTTTCAGTTGATTGTTACCATGTAGGAAAGGCATAGACTTTTAAAGATAAGACAAAAATTGTAAACTTCATAGAAAATTTCTCAATTTATAAACATTATCAAATAAATGAAAGTACATATATTCAAAGTGACCTTTCACTATTGTCATATATTCATTCCTGCTTCACTGCCCAGGCTGGGTTTCTCCCTGGAGCCAAGGAATCTTCCTATTTATTTCATCCTGATGAAGACGCATTGTATAGTCCACTCTGAGATTCAGCAGATATCTTCTGGGCAGGAAGCCAGAGCTCTGTTCTTTGGTGGGAAATAGCCCTCCAACTTCTTGCCATTCCCTGGAAACATTTATAAATGAGTCACTGGAATCCTCAATTTAATCTTCCTAACACATCCCAGGTGACTCAGACTGTAGTTCAAATAAATGTGCAGCAAAATTAAAAGGCACTTAGTTGGTTGTGTTAATAATTGCTGTGTCAGCAGCAATAGCAACTGAATGAGAATGAGGGGGAGTGTTAGGACCTAGAAGGAATCTTACAGCAAAGTGGGCCGATGAGCTCTGTAGACTCACCCAAAACCTTGGATGTAGGGAGGTGGCCTGGAAGGGGCTGGGGACTCCAGTGATTTCCCCAAAATCAGAGGATAGGGCAATCATTGGATAAAGGGAATCAGAGTTCTTAATACCTTGGCTAATCTGTTGTTCCAGTCCTGGGTGGTTGGATCAAGAGTTTGAATTATCTAATGGTCAAACCTGGGCTGTGGGGAGCAACATTGCCCAGAGGGAGGCATTACCTTCCTGATAGAACCGAAACGCACGTCTGTGGAAGCATTGCTGGGAATGAGTCAAAGAGGCTGAGAGACCAGATGCAACTTGGAGTGTAGAAAGAATGGGGACTTCGGAGTCAGGCAGACCTGGATTTGATTCTAACCTCAAAGAGTTACTTACTGGCCATAAGACCAGGGGCAAATCACTTAACATTTCAATCCTCAATTTCTTTATTTATAAAATAGTGATAAAAATGGGATTGTTGTAAGGATTAAATGATGTAATGAAGTAAAAAATATGTACAGCAGTGAGTAACACTCAATAAATGGTAGCTGCTGCTACTACTAGCTTCTCTAAGATTCAGCTAGTTGTAAATGTGGACAATCATTTTCTAATTTGAGGGTATTCAGAATTTAATGGCACAGTGCAAGGCCCATTGCAGGTGTTAGACTAATGTTATTGGTAGAAAAAGGGTTTTACTACTAAAACTAAAAGATAGGGATCAGAATGTGCATTCACAGGTAGGTGCCAAGAGGTGGCAGTTGCATCAGAACCTGGAAGTATAGACTGTCTGGAGGCAAGAACTAGGGACCAGGATAGAAGATAGCTCAATTTTGTCTCCAGAACTTTCTTTCTCTCCTGGGACTCTTTTCCTGAAGTATGGCCTTGGCTCCTGTGGTTTTGTAGAGGTGTTATCAGTAGGAGAGGGTCTGGACTGGAGAAGTACCTTGATTGATAGTCAAGTTGGAGCTGAGGGCCAGACATCAGGTCCACTGAAATGGGGGAAGCACCATGGATAGAGCCCATCTATGCCTCCTCCTTTGGTGGGCGTCCATTCCAGGTTCTGTGGAGCCCATGGAGGATATGTCAGGTGGTGGAAGGATGAGGTCACTCTGCTCCTTAAAGGCCCTTAGTACAATTACAGATGGTAAATGGGGGAATTTGGTAGGGCTAAGCTAGGACCACCAGGATTAGAGATAAAGAGCCTGACATTCAGAAACTTGGTATAGGACTTTCTTGCTGCCAGATGACCCTTATCCTGGGACTGAAAGAAAGCACCGAAGCTCTGTTGATGGCAGCTGGAGGGGTATAGTCTCTCTCTTTCACCTTTAGTCTCTTCCTTAAGGCAAGCTTAGCAGCAGGCTAGTGTGCATTACCGGAGACACAAATGGACTGGGAGCTCCTTCCCGACTCAGAGGCTTTATATCTCTTTTTCCTTTGGTCTAGAATATTCTGTTTCCCCAAGTATTTTTATGACTGGCCCATTTCTTCCCTTAAGGTCTCAGCTGTAAAGTCACATTCTTAGGGACACCTTTTGTTGCACACCTCAGCAGACCGCTAGTTACTCTCTCTTAGCACTTGTTTATTTTCTCCCTCGTGTTTATCAGACTTTGTAATTATGTATAGTAATTTTTTTAAAGTTTATTTTCTCTTGCCCACTAGTAGAGTGTGAGCTCAACAAGGGCAAGGACCTGACCTGTTTTGTTCACTATGCCATCTCAAGACCCCAGTGGTGCCTGACACATAGTTTTCATTCAATAAATACTTATTGGATGAAGGATTGAGTAGAGTTACATACCAGGTTTCAAATCCCATTTGCCACCTGTGTAGACAGATACTGTTCCCTCTTAGTAGCCACTTCCCTCATCTGTAAAATGGCTATTATAACACCTACTCAAAAGATCTCCCAGAGCTACTGTGGGAACCAAATGAGACAACTGATATGAAAACACTTGGCACGGAAGTTATTTTCTTTCTCATTGCCATCCAGAACTGTGCCAAGAGGCCTCATCAGGGGAAGTCTTCCTGCTGGCCTCTGCGGCCCTTGCCAACATCACGTTCTTTGATACAATGGCCTGCGAGATGCTCCTGCAGCTGAACGCCATCCGTGTCCTCCTGGAAGCCTGCAGTGACAAGCAGAGAGTGGACACACCTTACACTCGGGACCAGGTAAGATGCCCAGAAGGCACTGAGCCCAGGGCCCATGGCCATGGATACAGAGGTTAGGAGGCCAGCGCTTAGTTTCTGAGGCAGGGGAGAGAGCATGGGGGTACTGTTAGTTTTGCATGCTATAGGAAGGTAAATATTCTCCACATTTCTCACTGACTTTGAAGCTTCTTATGAGACCTCCTACCCCCTTTACCCATCCCATTATGAGTTTCACATGCTGCAGGAAGGTAAAGGAATGTGTTTTCCATGTCTCTCATTGACCTTGAAGCCTCTCTATGAGATCTCCTACCTGCTTTGTCCATCCCAGCCACTATAGGGCCTTCCTCAATCTCTGTTCAGATTGCCTGTTCTTGGAGACAGAAAGACCCACGGAAGGTGCCTAGACATCCTCTGAAGGTCTGTGTCTGGTCATGTTGGTGACCATCTGACACTGAACCCTATAGTGAACTGCTTCCCTCTTTACCTCCATGAGAAACAGGGGCTTGGAGCAGAACCTTCATTCGGGGCCTCAGCCTCCACATCAGTCATAATTTTCTTTGTATATTTGAGCTCCATGAAAGGTTTTCTTTGGTAGAAAAGGGGTTTTACTACTAAAAGTGTTTGAAGACATAGAATGGGGGTATTTTAAAGGCTCTTTGAACTCTGATGTTCTAGAATTTTATCCCATTTCACCTCTGGCCACACTTGGCCTCTCACATCACCACCAAGCAGTAGAGGTGGTAGATTAGGTGGTCTCTGTAAATTCCTCCCAGTACCTGAGCTCTAAGTTACATGATCCTCTCATCCTCAACTCAGCTTATCCCTGTCTGCATTTTAGCCCCCACAACATCACCTCTTCCAGCCTTATCTCTTAACTGAAGCTGCTTTGGTTTCTGTTCCATGCCAGCAGCTCCAGGAAGGCCTTCCCTGATGGTTTTGGCTCTCTGGAATTGCCTCCTTTTCTTAGAATTCATGCCTCACAATGCAGTGTTGACTTATCTAATAACATTTATTCCTCTTAATTATTTCATGTGATTTTCTTCCTCTGAGGGCATGATCCATGTTCTGTATTTCCCTAGGATTTTTAAAGGCCTCTAGTTTAGAGCTGGTGCCTTTGGTGAAGTTCCCCGAACTTTGTCAGTTATTTCTTATCCTTAGAATCGCCTGTGAAAGGGCAGCTGACCATAGAAGCTCCTGTTCGGAGAGAATTTTCTAGTATCTAAGCATTTGTATATGAGGGTTCTAAAAATACTGTGACACTGGTGATATTTGCCCCATTTTATAGATAAGAATATTTTGGCTCAAGAGGATGTCCCCAAAATTAAATGGTTGGCAGGCAGCTAGCTAGCATTTAAATGAGGATTAAATTTAAATCGTGACTTAGACCTTGATCTTTGACTCTCATCTGCTGTTATCTTTGAAGAAAGGAGGTGGTGCTGCTGTTGAACCACAGACTGAATGTTGGTCCTGCCTGGGCCATTTATCAACTGAGCGACATTCAGCAAGTCAAAGGCTCCTGGTTGTTGGATTTTCACATCTATTAATTGGGACATTAATGTTTACATTGCAGGGTTATTGTGAGGGTGAGTGTAATAAGATATGCAAGGACCTGATATAAGGCTTAGCCCCTACTGAGTTCTTAATAAATGGTGAATATCATTACTTTTTAAACCTGATGCTCCAAAGAAGAGCATGAGTAGTGAATTATCCAAAATCCTCAACTTGGCCCTCCAAACTATGTATGATATGTATGATTCCAGACTTCCTTTCCAGTCTAATCTTATTACTTCTAAGAGTTGGAGAAGTCCCCATAGAGACAAGGTGTGACAGTAACAGATAGAGTGGTGGTACCCTGGTTGACTATTGGCCTGATTGACTCCTGAGGGAGATATGCCCCATGTCTACCCTTGGTAGTGGGGAGAGAGACAGGAGGGCCCACCCTTCGTGATCTGCCTTACTCATGCTCTTGTTCTCTTCAGATAGATACCTCCAGTTGCTGGGTCTCTTATCTACCTGACATAATTTTAGGTGCCTTCACCTTCAGGTGCCTCTCCTGTGGCAGACTCTAGTCATTTCATACAAGAACCAGTAGTGAGGCAATAAGACAAGGAATTCTGGATTCAGACAACCTGAGTTTGAAGCTTTTTTGCTATTAATAATCATGTCACCTTGGGCAATTCACTCTGAGTCTCACTTTCTTAATTTGTAAAATGGAAACAAATAATACATATTTTACAAAGTTGAAATAAGAATTAAATAAATTAATAAATATAAACTCTTGGTACAGACGCTGGCACATAGAAGCTATTAAATCAATGGAAGCCACTGTCAATGTTATTACAATTGGCCTTTGAATGTGTGGCACACAGCATTGAATGGGAACCTCCAGAGAGGAGTTCCCTCATCTGTAAAATGGGCATGACTTCTTCCATCTTGGACATCCTGTGTCTCTATGTGTAGAAATCCCCTTCTTATCACAAGGAATGACTAGCCCCCTCTTGAAGCCTCACTGAGTCCTATGAAAAGGAGATCAGGGTGGGGAGAGAATGTGGTCATGCTGCCAGCAGATAGTTCTCTCTGTACCTGGAGTCAGCACCTTTTCATGTTACTCCACTGTCTGAGCCAGGCACGTCCTCCACTGTCCTCAGGATGGCTTCACCTTCTGCCCTGGCTCAGAACAACCACTTAGCTAGTGAAAGTGCACCCATTAAAGAAACAAATGGCTCTTTCCTGTGGCAGCGGGAGGATTAAGGTGATCAGAGGGCTCTCTGTAATGAAGACAAAGAAGATGAATTAGGTTTTGAAGTGCTCACCACCCCCTGAAATACTTAGGAGATTAAATGCCCCATGAGGCTTCCGGTAATGAATCTGCCAATGACGCCAATGCTGTGTGGAACCTCTTGGTCTTGGATCTATACGGACCACCTCTGTTTGGACAATGAGAACCCCTCCATCATCCTGGCAAGCCAGGTCCACTTAATTTGTTCAACAGAAGCCTCATTGCGTATGCCTATCCTGTAGCCATCCTTGGGGTGTGGCCGTTGGTGAGGGTAGCCTTGGACATAGGCTCTTCTACCCTCTTTGGCTAATCTACAGGAAGGTGGCATGGGCTGCAGCTGATATGGTCAGCCATTGAAAAGCCTGACAAGCAACCTGGATAGTCCTATGCTTTCATGCCCAGGAGGTATTTTCCAGGAGCCATACTGTACATGGAATCCAGCAACAGATCTGACAGGGGGAGATAGGAAAGGGGCTACCTCCAAATGTGTTGGTGAACTTCTGCCCTGTCTGTCAAGCAGCGGTAATCTAGGATGGAAGAGACCTGATTATCTTGTCTAATATATAATAGAGATTTTTACTGAGCCTGACTTTTTGTGGCCTTCAGGAATTAACTGCTTTCATAAGGGCAGGAGTGCTAGTATATACTTCCCACAATAATACCTGATCTGTTTGGCATTTTAGAATGACTAGATTTTGTAACATTTCTGGGACCTCACTGTGAATACCATTTATCAGGAAATGCCAGTCACTAGGGGTTTCGTTTTTGACTCACATCTCAAAATCTCTCTATAGTTTATAAAGCTCTGTTGTGTACATATGTGACATATTAGAAACAGCACAGGTTTTTAGTTCAGACAGATTTGAGTTCACATTCTGGTTCTGCCATTTCCCAGCTATGTGATAGTAGACAAATCACTTTACCTCTCTGAGCCACAATTTCCTCATCTGCGTAATGGGAATAATAACATTTGCTCCCTCCCTCATGTCATTATGATGATTAGATGGGATAATGCTCGTAAAGTACTTAGAAACAAAGCAAATACTCAATAATGAATGGGACGGGGTTCTCTAACAGAACCAGAGGCTGGGATAGGTCTGAGACAGGGAATGTAAGCTTTGGAACAGGAAGGTAGGGTCAGGAAATATAGTTAACGTGGTGGCAATTGTATTGATCTGTTCTCACATTGCTATAAAGAAATGCCTGATGTAATCCCATTACTTTGGGAGGTTGAGGCAGGCAGATTACCTGTGTTCATGAGTTCAAGACCAGCCTGGGCAACATGGCAAAATCCTATCTCTACAAAAAAAAAAAAAAAAAAATTAGCCAGGCATGGTGGTACACACCTGTAGTCCCAGCTACTTGGGAAGCTGAGGTGGGAGGAGGCTTGAGCCCAGGAGATGGAGGTTACAGTGAGCCAAGGTGGCACCACTGCACTCTAGCCTGGACAATAGAGCCAGACCTTGTCTCAAAAATAAAAATAAAAATAAATTACCTAAGACGGGGTAATTTGTAAAAAAAAAAAAAAAAGGTTTAATTGGCTCATGGTTCTGCAGGCTGTACAGAAAGCATGAAGCTGGAATCTGTTTGGCTTCTGGAGAGGCCTCAGAAAACTTAACAATAATGGTGGAAAGCAAAGGTGAAGCAGATACATCGCATGGCAGGAGCAAGAGCAAGAGAGAGTGAAGGGGGAGGTTCTTCACACTTTTCAACAAGAACTCGCTCACTGTCACAAGAACAGCACCATGAAGATGGTGCTAAATCATTCATGAAGGGTCCACCCCCATGATCCAATCACCTCCCACCAGGCTCCACCTCCAACATAGGGGATTACAATTCAACGTGAGATTTTGATGGAGACACAGATCCAAACCATATCAGGGATACTGTGTAGTATTGGAGGAATCCAGGATCCCAACACCCTGTCCTGACCTGCTCCAGAAGCCCCTCCCCACAAAGCCAAGGGCAAACCAAGCACAGAGAATATGGTCTGACCTTTATACGCTCTCTAATACTGTGGGCTTACAGCCCAACATTTGTGTAATCCCCAGGGTGAGACAGCTGGGCTTCACTCAGGAGAGCCCTTCAGCCTATTCGCCAGCAGTACAGGACTGACATCCAAAACAGTTCCATGGCTTTTATCATGGGGTCTCCTCAGCCTTAATCTTAGCCCTCCAGGCTTGCCTCTTTAGTAGTAAGGGAAAGCTGGTCCTGTCAACAAGAAGACCCATGTACCAGAGAGAAGAAGCCATGTGCTTGTCTCTGGGTCTAGGCAGGAGCCCTTCTCCTAGTCTCCACATCTGTCCAGCCCTCTCAGGTCTTGCACCCTGGGCCCTGAGTCATGTCTGCCAGCAGGAGGGAGAGGCTCAAAAGAGAGCAGAAGAGGAGAGGGCTGTACCTTCTCCTGGGCTATCTTGCCTCTCTGGCCTTGGAAAAGAAAGTATGTTCAAAGAGACCACACTTTTCTTCCCTTAGATCCCTTAATTCTACAAATCAATGTCCTTGTCTGGATTCTTTCTGCTCTTTGGTAGAGCAAGTGGCATGGAGGGAAGACTGCTGAGACATTGCTAGGATGTGAGGCAGGCCTGGTTCACACCTTTGCATCGGCCTGCAGACAAGTGTTTCCCCTCTGTGTGTGCTGACATCAAAAGGCCTCACTAACCTCCTTCCTACCACACAGGGACATTTCTTCTTGAATCAGTGACATGGGAGGTCACCTGCTATCCTGGATCAATTTCCTGTCTGCCTCAATTTTCATGTTTTTGGAGGCCAAAGAAAAAAAAATTGAAAATGCCAGAGAAGGTAGTGAATATACACTTTGCTGTTCCTCTGATGGGAAGGGTTGACCTACTCTGGTACAGGCTCTCCTTTGGGAGGGATCTCACATTAGCAGCGTGTCTTGGCCACACGTATGCTCAGCCCCCCGAGTGCTGCATATTACTTGGCTAGTGTTTCTTGACACAGTCTGTCAAGGCTTGGGTCCTTTCAAGTTCTCCTGCCCAGAGCAAACCATATTTATTTTATTTAACAAAGGGTGCTTGATATTAACTCATTGAATGCCCATACAGGTCTTAAAAGATACCTTTTATTTATTTACTTATTTAGAGACGGAGTCTTGTTATATTGCTCAGGCTGATCTCAAACTCCTGGCTTTAAGTGATCCTCCTGCCTCAGCCTCTGGAGTAGCTGGGATTAAAGGCATGAGCTATGGTGCCTGGCTGAATTATTTTTATTTCTTATGGTAGGGCCCCCAAGGATGTCCACATGATAATCCTTAAAACCTGTGAATAAGTTACTTTATATAGCGACAGGGATATTCTAGATGCGATTGAGTTAAGATCTTGACATAGGAATATTATCCTTGATTATCCAGGTAAATTCAGTGTCATCACAGAAGTTCTTGTAAGAGGGAGGGAAGAGAGTCAGAGTCAGAGAATCAAACGTGATTAAGGAAGCATAGGTCAGAAGGATATACTCCCCTGAGCCAAAGAACGACAGCAGCCTCCAGAAGCTGGAAAATAGAAACTAGGAAATTGATTTTCCCCTAGAGCCCCAAGAATAAATGAAGATCTCTCAACACCTTGGTTTTTGCTATGTAAGACTCATTTAGAACTTCTGACCTCTAGAACTGTAAGATAAAATCATGTCATTTTAAGCCACTAAGTTTGCAATAATTTGTTATAGCAGCAATAGAAAATGAATACACCAAGGCACAGAAGGTTAGGTAACATGGCCAAGATCATAGCAAAATGTGATAGAGCCAGGATTTAGATGTAGGTTGAGCTACATGCTTAGCTATTACATTATACTGACCTCTTACCTAGGACCTCTCTCAAAGGTGATGTCCTCTGGATTCACCAAACAACTGCAGAGGGAATGGTGCCCTTTCACTTAGGTGGAATAGAACTTAATTGAACATCATCAGGCGAGACTGAATTAGCCTGGGCTAGGGAAACTGTCTGCCTGGCTCCTGCACTCTGCCCCCTGACAGCATTGCTAACTTGTATCCAACCAGGTAAAACAGTTGTCCCTAAAATCCCACCCATGGACTTGACTGTGAGGATAAACATTGACCTCTTTCCCCTCTATGTTACGGCGCACAAAAGGATGTTTTACAAGGGGGACTCAAAGCAGGGCATAATTGGCATTTATTCAAATTGTACTTAATTGAATACTTCATCTGCACCTCCAGAAAACCACATGGGGTACAGGCTCTGTAAAGAGGAAGTAATTTTCATTAACAGGATCTAAATTAGTCTGACACAAAGACCTACGTGGTGCCTGTGACATGGCTAATAATTACTGTGTAATGAACCCGTTGCCACAGACAAAGGTTTCCTTTTCTTTTCCTAGTTTGTCCTTCCTTCCTTCCTTTTCCTCCCTTCCTCCTTCCTTCCCTCCTTCCTTCATGGATCTGCATGTCAAGTAAGTGTTTTTATTCAGAGAGGCCAGCCTGGTGATGGTGGGACGTCACAGCCCCTGTGTGGTGGAAACAGAGTCCATACTTCCTGCTAACAGCCCAGAGATAGCCAAATAAACTCTAAACTGACATGGACTGGGCCGTGTACCTCCTCCCTCATAAGAATGTGCACACGATGCCTCTTGGGGAACTTTCCAACCCAGCTTTTTCCTCTAACTCCTTCCACTGAGCCCACAAACACAATCTTAAAAAGTACAAAGATAAGTAAATAAATAAGTAAAAGAGCCTCTAGGTCCTAAACCTCCTTTAGTCCTATTATCTTCTTAACTGCAAATAGGAGGTTGTCACCCCCGTCATAAAACACCTGGTGGTACAGAGTTGCTTTCATGATAAAGGTTCTGGAGTGTTCTCTTGTCCTTCCTCTGGCAGCCCACTGTAGTCAGGCTCATCCAACCAGGCCCCTGATGGGGTCTGAGCTGGAAGGGGTTGTCACACACACACATGCTGCAGCAACCTAAGAATGCGGAATCCCCTTCCAACATGTGTTTAGAAGGAAAGGAGAGAGAGAGATATTCTACTAATATGGTAAAGTTTTTCCTTTCTGTTTAAAAGAAGACATTTTTAAATATATTTGTTATCCAGAGTAAAATAGCAATATTTGTTATCCAGAGTGATTAAAATGTAGATAATACTCTTTCTTGGTAGACATCACATTACTATCCAGTTTCAGCATTTTAGCTGCCTGAATTGTACTCAGTAGACTGTCAACTGCCGTCTCAGAGGAGGGGGTAGGGGCACAACCTTTGCTTATACCATCCTGCAAGCTTTGAAGAAACCTTTCAAGAGACAGAGGCTTGTATCAGTGAGAATTGTTTTTTAATTTAATTTAATTATTTATTTTAATTACCAGTTGAGAGCGCTGTCCATTTCTGTGAAAGTGGGTGAATTTTCTTCTTGCTATTTATGTCAGGAGCAGTGTTGTGGGTGGTATCTGAGTTAATGGGTGCCATGTTTCCAATCTATTCTAGTAGCATTTTGGCACCCTTTTGCAGTTTGGGGTCTCCGGAATGAGTCCTCTGTCAGCCCATTCCTTAATCCAGTTTGTGCTTGTGAGTTCTTTTCTCCCTTGACTGTACCAGGGGTTTCAGGTGAGGCTGGTTACAACCCATAAAGCTGTAACTGAGACTCACTGTCCACCTGGTGTCAATACCGCTTTCCTACAGGCAGAGACTTTCAGCGATGACTGGTAAGCGAGGCTTACCACAGACTTGTAACGTGCAGCTGAGTATGCACTTTCTCATCAGATTCCATATAATACCCAATGCTTGATAATGCTGCCCCTTCCTACTGATGCCCTCTAACGTGACCTTAGCCTTCATTCATCGCAGGTTGAAAGTAGGTGAGGGTTAGTATTCAGGAAAGAAGCTGGGATGGAAGAACTCAATCCAGAGTAAGAGCTAGCTATCGAGGACAAGCCAGCACAGAGGAGTTTGAGGGGCCAGGGACCTGCTTGTTCTGTCTGCATTTCAGGACTGGGGACCAGAGCAGAAAGACAGCTGGGCCCCAACTTCACCCAGGGTTATGCTAGTGTTTCCAGGGTGTTCTGGGGCCCTTGGGAGCCATGCTATAGCCGTAGGCTAATAAATGGGTATTAGTCACCGGGGAAATACATCTGGGTGGCAGGAGCCCATGAGAATGGAAGCAAATGCCTTGGAAGGATAGGCCCGGTGGACAGGAAGGAGTCACGGGAGAAAAGGAAGCTTTGTAGCCCCTGTCTGACCTGTCTGTAGGAAGTACCATTAAGGTCAGGTGTGCTCATTTTCTCAGTTTCTAAATTCTCTTTTCCAGATTGTGACCATCTTGGCAAACATGTCTGTCCTAGAGCAGTGTGCCTCTGACATCATTCAGGAGAATGGTATGTCTTTGTAGCATTGTACATGTTATGTGAATTATCTGGATGTAGGGGACGGGTCTTTGTGCTTGTGTGAAAGCCTGTGCGGGTATGTAAATAGGTACATGTAGCCGGGCGCAGGGATCACGCCTGTAATCCCAGCACTTTAGGAAGCAGAGGTGGGTGGATCAACTGAGGTAAGGAGTTCGAGACCAGCCTGACCGACATGGTGAAACCCCGTCTCTACTAAAAATACAGAAATTAGTTGGGTGTGGTGGTGGGCGCCTGTAATCTTAACTACTCAGGAGGCTGAGGCAGGAGAATCGCTTGAACCTGGGAGGCGGAGGTTGCAGTGGACTGAGATCACGACATTGCACTCCAGCCTGGGCGACAGAGCGAGACTCTGTCTCAAAAAAGAAAAAAAAAATAGGTACATGTGTCTCCACGCTTGCATGAGCATATATGTGTGTGCTTGTATGTGGGCAACTGGGCCTATATATGTGAATATTTGTTTGCTTTTGTGAGGCCTAAATTCTAGTGGAAGACAGATAATGTATAAGAAGATAGCAAATGTCCAGTGATGATAGTGTGACAATGCCCTGGGGAAAATGAAGCAGGGAAGAAGAGTAAGGTAGTATCAGGGTGGGGTGGTGATGGTTGGTATTTTAATAAGATGGTGAGGAGAAGGCAAATATTTCATATGATCACCAAATAAAAAAATCTATTCCTACCAAGGGTTACATTCCAACTTTAAATTGTTCCTATCTTTTTGGATTTGGCTGCAGTAGAAAGCTGAGGAAGGGGTGAGTGGTAGAGCAGGTGAGGGCAACCTGAATGTCTTTAGCCCTCACTGAGAGCATCTCTTCTCCCACTTGCTTCCCTTGTTCCATCTGGTGCTGAACATGTCACCAAGGTCCAGGTGGGGTGGGCCAGGTTTCATTGGCCTGGGAGCTGATGGAAGCCGTTTCTGCCAACGGACAAGGCGGCTGCCTTGCAGCTGGGAGCAGAGATGGTGAGGGCTTCCTGTGACTGGGAAATAAGGGAGCAATTAGCAACCAGTTGGAAACCAGAGACACTAATGAGGCGGAGTGAGCTGGGAGCCTGGGCCGGCTGCCTCTGCTCTTGCTAAACCCCCTTCTCCCAGGCTTCCCTGCTGTCTTAACAAACATACACTTTCCCATCCCCCATTGCTCTGTTACTAATTGAAGGACATCATTTTGTGTTAATTTTATGTGATTGAGCTAATAATGAGAAACTTTGCTGAGCCAGCTGAGGCCATGAAGCTGAGCTATTGCATCTGTGCCCTGTTCTTTCCGCACGTATAGAGCCTTATGTTGAAGTGTTCAGTGGGAGTGGGTCTCCAAAGGCCTGTGAATTTGAGATTGGAATATCTGGCATCTGTAGAGGGTTTTATGGTTCACAAAGTGCTATTGACTGACTCGCTCAGTAAACAGTTATTGAGACCTAATATGTGCCTGGCATTGTGCTAGACAACGAGAACAGAGATAACTAAATCCCTGCCTTTGTCCTAGAGGGTCTCACAGTCTAGACAGAGAGCACAACTTAACAAAAGTGACATATGATAGAAATATAACATCTACAATAGAATAATGCAACAGAGGGAGGTTGTCATGGTGATTGAGGTTGAAAACTGGAACCATACTCTGTGGGTTTGAATCCTGGCACTGTGTTTACTAACCATATGACCTCTCAGTTTTTTCATCAACAAAATACAAATAATCCCTACCTCATAAGGATGTTGTGAGGATTAACATGAAGCATGTTAGAAGATGGTCTGGCACAGAATGAGCACTGTGCTAAGACCCTCTGCTCTTTCAGGAAACAGTGGCAGTCTCACGGGGTTTACCTGAAGAGAGTTTAATGAAGGAGCTATTTTCCAAAGCAGGGCAGGATTTGAGGAATCAACAAAGGTGTCAGTGCAACTGGGGTATACTGGAAGACAGGCCTCTTAGGTCTGGACAGGGCAAATCTTGTTGTACAGGCTGGGCTTTGAGAGTCCATGGTCTAAATCACAGGTTGCAAACTTAGATGTCTACACAATTCAGACAGGTAATGTAAATGGATGAGGTGAATTCACCAGAGACAGGATCAACCTCTTTTAAAGAAGGAACTCATAATAAGCTTTAAAAATTTGTTGTCCAGAAATGAGGGCCTAGGGTTAAAATTCAGGAGGCAGTTTCAGAAGTCAGAAATCTAGATTTTTACAGAAATCCTCCAATTAGCACACTATCAAAAATCTAAAAAATTGTAGACGCTGTGTGGAGCAACAAAACAAAGCAAAACTATATTCTTGGGTAATGTCTGGCTTAAGTTCTAAGCTGCAGAAGCCACTGGGTGCAGAAGAGGGGAGTGTGGGATGGGCAGTTGGGCAACAGCTCACACTGAAGATAAACTTTTACTACAACCTGCAGGATGGAGTTTTTTAGATGGAGCATCAAGAGGGAAAACGGCATCCCTTGTAGAAAGAAAGACTGGGTAAAGGCAAGGAGGTATGAGTGGATATGGGTGTGGTTTCTAGAACAATCAGAAGACGAATCTGATTTCAGGGGGAGGTAGGAGGCTTCTCAGCAGAGATTATTCAGGTCGAAATCTCTCAGTCTAACTACTGCACCCTTTTCCAGCTTGAGTTCACTCTAAAACATTTGATCTAGTCATTATCCAGCTTAGGTTTGGATCACCTCTTACCTGGGGGATTCATCACTACTGGACCTGTCTGAATTGCAGCCAGTATCAGAAGTGAAGAGGTGATGTAGAGAAACCAGTTATCTGAGTTTCTTTCGTTTTTGTTTTCTTAATCCTAAATGTGATGCTACATCTGAATTGTAGTAGCAGCTCCCTCAACTACTAACTATGTGACACTGGGCAAGACACTTCACTTGTCTCTGGGCTTCAAAATGGAATTATAATGGTACCAAATACATGAGGCTACTAGAAGGTTTTAGGGCATTATGCATTTACTATGCATTTAGCACAGTGTTGAGTAAAAGCTCAATAATAGCGCTAAAAAAATAAAGATGTCTTCAGATGTTCCTCCCAAGTATAGTGACTTGGTACATGAAGACACCCTCAGGAGTAGAAGTCATGGAGAAATAGCCTTGTCCAGCTTCTGCCCTGTGGGTGAGACCCCTGAAGTCATCCTGACAGCCTTTGCTTGCACCCTGCAGCCACCTGTCCAGCTGGCCCCATGGGGAAGGCTCCATGCTGGGGGTAGGTACCAACTGTTCCTTGCTTCCTGCCTAGGGGTCCAGCTCATCATGGGCATGCTGTCCGAAAAGCCAAGGTCTGGGACCCCTGCTGAGGTGGCAGCCTGTGAGCGAGTCCAGCAGAAAGCTGCAGTGACCCTGGCTCGTCTCAGCCGAGACCCAGATGTGGCACGGGAGGCTGTGCGGCTCAGCTGTGAGTGGTGCTTGCTGGCTGTGACTGGAGTGGAGTGGGGGGATTGGGGGCAGGAGCAGCTCTGATTTCATGGTGGCAACAGTGGACACAGGGCAAGGACTGGCTGGCATAAGCCCTATCTCTGGGGGCTAGAAAATGCTGGGATGGAGGGTCAGGGGTGCAGCCCCTAGTCTAGTTTGTAACCTGGGGCTGAAGCAAGAGGGAGAAAGGACCTAGAGTGGTAAAAGCTGGCCAGAATAGTGACTCACCTGCAGACTGTTAATAAGAACTCCATTATTTCATTCACTCATTCGTTTATTCACTTGCTTAGTTATTCATATACTCGTTTGTTTACTTATCTACACGTTCATTTACTCATTAATTTATCCTTTAGTTCATTTATTCATTAACCCATTCATGACTTCATTATTCACTATTAACTCCTCCATTAATTCACTCATTAACATGCTCATTCATTCAGTTAGTCACTTATTTACCCAACAAATATTTTCAGAGCACCCACCCTACGCTAAGCTCTGTTCTGAGTGCTGAGCATGTGACACTGGATGTGACATTGTCCTGACCACAGGGGCTCACAGCCTCATGGAGGTGACAAATAAAAAAAGGGATATTCTCACTTCAGTATCATGGGAGTGACACTCAAAGCATGTCCATGGTGCATTTGGCATGCACAAGAAGTAGCCCATGTTTATCTGGGTGAGTCAAAGAATGTTTTAACCAGGGGGTGAGTCCTCTGCTGTGGTTTGAAAAAGTAAGTAAAAGTTACTCCCATGTGAAGACTGAGAAAGGGCTTTTCAGGAAGAAGCGTGAGAAAGGGCATGGCAGTGTCACCAATCCTCCAGGTACCCAGAGGGACAGCCTGGGGCAGCAGAGGGTTCCTGCTCCTTCAAGACCTTACAGAGGATGGACACGCCGACTGCATTTGCATACCTTCTACTGCTATCGTATAATGAGGGTTTTTTTTTTTTTTCTTAAAGTTTGAAAGAAGTCAGTCTGCATTGCAAAGCTAAGTCATTCACTTAACTCTGCTCAGTAAAGCCCTAGGAAATATTAGTAGAGGCTATAGTTTTATGTTATTTTAGCCACAGTATATTTTCTGGCTGAAATTGGCACTTGAGAAAAAAAGACACAGCTAGGAATTTTGTCTGGTAAAGATTCAAATGTTAACCCACATCTGTGGATTTGGCTTGGATGCTTCAGCTTGGCCTGACCCTAACCAGGCTCTGCTCACCACTGAGGGAGTAGAAAGTTTCCACCACAGACTCCTCGAGGTGGGTTCAGCCTCCTTCTGTGGCAGATTGGGTGTGCAAGGGAGGCCCAGAACCTCTGGGTCAGGCCCGACTGGGCCCCGTCCTGGGCTTGAGGCTCTCCCTGTGTCTCCTACAGGCATGTCCCGTCTCATCGAGCTCTGCAGATCCCCATCAGAAAGGAACAGCAGTGATGCCGTGCTCGTGGCCTGCCTGGTGAGTTCTCAGTCTTCCCCCAGCTTTTCCCCTGGCCTTCAGGATGCAGACAAGGGGGCCAGGAGAACTGGCTGTGCTGTGACTGGCTTCAGTAAGCCGTAAAACCTCTCTGGGCTTTAGCTTTTCTCTTTAGGATTGTGATCATTATAATATTTGTTTCACTTAATTCATAAAATCGTGATGAAAATTTTATGAGGTAATATGTGTGAAAGATGATGGCTGAGAAACTCCCTCTTCCCTCTGTTCTACCACTACAGTTTTAGGAACAGGAACCTTTGAGGTTCCCGTGGAACGCTAGTTGGTGTTGTCTATGTCATGGTGCCTGCAGAACATGGGAGCTAGGATAAGGATATCCCCTGCCTATTCCAAAGGGAATAAAGGGAGAAAAGCCTCCACTTATCCCTACAGGGAGCCCATCTGGTGGCACTCTTCCAGCATTGTAGCTCCCTCCACCTTTGTGGAACAGAACGAGAAGGAACACAACAAGATAGAGTGGACTATTCAGCAGCAACCTGGATCCTCACCTTGAACACAAGCAAGTGTATCCTAGGAAGTCCCCACCCAACTTCTTTTTGCTAGGGGTCCATCATGCAATAATCAATAGTACCAGACAGAGAATGCACACTTCGTCTATATATTCTTCCCTACTAGGGCTGTAAGGACTCCCAAAGTAGAGTAGCTTCCATTTGAAAACATTTAGGAGCAGGGAAGCCACTCTATAAACAGAACCCTTAAGTTCCAGAAGAAAGTGCTGGCTCTTGTGATCAAAGAACACAAGGGGGAAGTGATGGATTTAAAGATCCTTCAAGCTGTCTCACAGTAAAGTCCTCTCCTCAGCCCGTTTTGAGCTGAGCTTGTCTCTTTTCTGGGAGTTTCTGATGGGCGTTTCGCAGTTGTAGAAACAGTAGCGCATTACAGTCAATCAGCCCTGTCTTGGTCGTACCATTAATGAGCTGTGTGACATTTGATAAGTCACTCAATGCTATATATTTTATTCAATAAATGTTTACGGAATGATTCTGTGTTCCATTCACTGTTCTAGGCTATGGGGATACAGCTGCAGGTAAAAAAGACAAAAATCTCTGCCCTTCTGTGGCTTTTATTTTGGTACGTTCAAGGCAATCTTAATCTTCTTGTGCCTTTGGTGGTCTGGTGAAGCTTACAGACCCCTTTTCAGAATAATCTTTTAAATGCAAAAATAAAAATAAAATGTATAGAATTAAAACCAAAACCAATTATATTTAAAATTATTAAACTATTAAAATATGTGATATATTAATATATTTGCTTTTTAGTCAACACATTAAATAAGACCTAGCAGTAAGTCTAGTAAGTATTGTCATCTTGACTCGTGCAGACCATAAATGGTATTTGAAAATATTTTCAACAACTTTCATGGGCTGTGAAAGTATCTGTAATTTCTACTGGGAAATCACAAGTCACAGGGATTGTGAAGACGCCATGGTTTGTTGCTGCATTCACATTGCAATAGAAGGAAATGCTAAGTTTCAGTTACAGGTTGGTGAAAATAAAGATGTAACTTTTTCTCATTCAAATTCACAGATCCTTTTAATTCTGCCTGTTCTAGCAAGTGAAGTGAGAGGAAATTAACATGTAATGATTGACCCCAACTACCACTGCCTGACTCTGAATAGACCCTGAGGAAATGTTGGTAGCATTGAAATCACTTGGGAAACTATAAAGCTCCATTCAAATATGAGGGCTTGTGATTATTACTGCTATCATTTTTATTAGTGTGAAGGAGAGCACACAGAAGAGCTTGGCTACTATCTTTAATCACTTTAAGGACTTTCAAGCCGAAAAGGGATTATATTTGTTCTGTGGATGAGTTGGTGGATGCTGAAGAGAACCCCTCCCTCCCTAATCCATTCTCCGTGTGGCTTCTGAGTTAATTTTCCTAAGGACAGTTTATAATCATGACACTTTCATGAAATCTCCATCGAACCTTTTCATGGTTCCCCATTATTTCTGGGCCACTGTCCGTCTGTTCAGCCCTTCTCAGTCTGGCTCCGACCATCCCTAGGGCCTGCAGACCTCCCACTGTCTCCAGGCCCTGTCCACCTGGGTTAAGCCAGAGCACCCAGAACTGTGTGCCTTGACCCTTGCTCCCAGCAAATGTTTTCTCTATAACTCTGTTTATTAAAATTCTGCCAATCCTTCCAAGCTTAGATGTAAATCTCTCTCCTTCACAAAATTTTCCAGGAGCTCTGTGTGGTGCAAAGCCAGAGAATAAACAGCATGAACCTGAGCCTCCTGTCTTGGATTTTGTTTCACTCAGTCCAAGGCAGGTTCCATTATCTTTGTCCCAGGTGTTGTAAGGGGAGGCTCTTGGAATTCAGACACAGGCCTGCCTGATTCTAGAGGCCTGCACTTTTCAACCAGACCGTCTTGTTCCAAGCCATGCTCTTTCTCTCCCCATCTCTTATGGCACTGGTCTCCAGCATTGACTCATGGAGGAGGATTTGTATTTTTCTCCCTGTAGCCTGGAACCTTCCCAGGGCAGGGGACTTTTTCCAGCTTTTTGTATATCCATGGGACGTTGAGTTTGGTGACTATGTATTAATTGACTTGGGGACTGATAGACTTGCTTCCCCTTTTCCTAGCTCCCAGTCTTGGGGGTATCCATAGTTTGTCCCTAGGAATGTTCCAACATTTGAGTGTGGTCTTCTGGCTGGTGAGATTCACTTGAAGTCTAGCCTGGCAGGTGGAGTTAGAAGCCACCATTCCTGTTCTTCCCCAAGACCTTTCCAGCTTCAAAGGCTCCCTTCAGGTGGAGGGAGGAAGGTTCACTTATTGTCTCCCCTGTCTGGGAAGGTGGCAGTGCAGATCATCTCTCCCAAACAGAATGGTTTTTTCCTGAATGAAGCAGCTGTCAGTAGGTTGCCAGGCTTGTTTAATGCTTGGGTGCTTTCAGGCTATCTGGGAATGAGATTCTAGGATGACTAGCTGTTTAACCCTCCCAGAGAAGCAGAGGCTGAGAGAAGGGTTGGCAAGGGTGCAGGGTCCTTTGAGGCTGCTGCACACTGAGGAGGGGGTGCTCTGAGCTATGGTAGGGTTCATGTCCTGTAGACTTTCTGGGGACCGTGGGGAGGTAAGGGTGTCTCTTCTCTCTCTGTTGTTCTCTGCTGTGTTTTGGTTTCTGCTTTGCTCTCTTTCTAGGGTTTGCCTTCTCAGCAGTTTCTCTTTCTCCTTTCCCTCCCTCCCCTCTTTTTATCACCATAACTCCTTTCTGTCCCTCTCTACTCCTTCCTTTTTCTCTCTGCCTCCTTACCTCACCCTACCTCTCTCCTATTATCTCCCCTCCTCCTAAGGGCTCTCTCTTTTATTTTCTTTGCCACGATTTCTCTTTTTTTCTCCATCTCTTTTTTATACTTGGTCTTTTTTCTCCACCAAGTTCATCTCTGTCTGTTTTAATATTTCCTTCTTGTTCTTTTTTCTCTGTTGTCTCTTTTTCTCTGTTTTTTTTTTTTTTTTTTGGCTATTTCCCTTTTCTGTCTTATTTGCTCTCTTGATAAGTCTATGTTCTATTTCTCTGTGTCTCCTTGTCTCCCTTCTTGCTTTATTTTTTATCCCTAATGATGCGAAAATGCACTGGTGGCCTTATTTCTTCATCTTCAGAAAATCCCTGATTCTGTTTTCATGGTGAAAACTCAAGGGCAATGGGGTTATCTTTCCCTGTTGGAGCCAAGAAGAATCAGAAAGTGCTATGAAGTTTACCCTCATTAGCCCATGGGGTAAACCATGCCCCATGAGAGTCAAGATGTGCTAGTTGGAGGCAGTTCTGGGGAGTCTATTGCTAGAGTCACAGACCCTGCTCATTAATGCACAGAGACACACGCTCCTTCTCTTTGACCCTGCCTGGACATGACAGCACCTGTGACTCCCAGCAACCAGCTCAAACTATCCTCTCTTTTCACTTTGTTGGCCTGATTTCTCAGCAACAGGCTACCTGCCATGTCCAGGTAATGAGCGGTACCCCAGCCTTATGCTCAATATAACCTTGTATCCTGGGGTTGTAGCATCCTACCTGTGTGTGTAGGTCTGAGTGCCCTGGAGTCGGACTCCTGTGTGATGTCTGGAAGGCCACTTTCCCCCTCTGAGCCCTAGTTTCTTTATTTCCAAAATGGAGATCATGACACTTAGCTTGCAACATCATGTAGGGATTAAGTGAGGTGCTATGGGGAGATCCTCAGTGTTTGCATTCCCTCCTTCTTTGCTTCTTTTGCCATTCTAGATATTCCCCCACTCTTTTTGCTTCCAGAGGTGGGAGAAGAGAGGTACCTTGTTCCCTGCTGTGTATATGCCCAGGAAGAGGGAAGAAATTAATATTTATTAAACACAACATGCATTGCCTCAGTTAACTGGTAAACAGGTCTAGGTAGGTGCACAGCTCACATTTAGTTTCAGGTTGCACTATCAGCAGATCTCAGTATTAAAGCACTTCGTTTATTCATTTCTTTTCAGTCAACATTTATTGAGCCCTGTGCCAACCTCTGTGTTGTCTGCTACAGATACAGAGAAATAGAAAACAAGATCCTTACTCTCGAGGAGCTCAGAGTCTAGTGTGAGAGATAAATACCTAAAAGCTAGTTACAGTCAAGTGTGAGAAACTTGAGGTCCGCCCAGGGGCCCTGGTTGCACAGAGAAGGGAGGGATGGACTGTCTCTGCTTCAGGATAATTGGGGAAGGCTTCATGGGGGAGGTAACAATAGGCAAGAGCAGGAAGTCACTTCAAGTCACAAGTAAGAGTATGAGCAAGGAGGAGGGGGTATAGCTCAGAAGTAGAGCATTGGATTGCAGATTAAGAATATGAGCAAGGACACATGGACATAAAACAGAAATAGCATAGTCATTGCTTATTGTGTGGGGAGCTGGGGAGTGATTTTATTCTGCCAGCACCTCTCTTTCCTGTTCATCCCCCTTGCCAGATGTTGAATTTCTCAGTAGCAGAATCCCTATCTACTTTTACAATATGTTCTCCCTCTCTTTTCTTGTTTTTTCCATAGTGCTTTCCATAGGACCTTGCTGAATTTATGGATGAATGAATAGTTCTTGCTATTCTAAGTTTACTTTAGGGATCTGGAAACAGTAAAGACCATTACTAAGATTATTAACAGCTTTCAGATGACATCTATCTTAGTGATCAAGGTGTAAATAAAGCCAGGTGAACAAGAGATGTGGTTGCTATGTTGACCAGGGGACCACGATGGTCGCTGGGGTGCCAAGTGGCCAACATGATGATCAGCCCAAATTGTCTGGTAAATGCACCACTTCCTGAAATGCACATTTCAGGGTAGGTGAAGGAAATACACGTACCTGACATGGCCCAGTCTGATATGTGTCACCTCTTCTGTCTTCTCCCCAGGCTGCTCTGCGTAGATTGGCTGGGGTCTGCCCCGAAGGCCTACAGGACTCTGACTTTCAGCAGTTGGTCCAGCCTCGGCTTGTGGATTCCTTCTTACTCTGCAGCAACATGGAGGAGAGTTTTGTGTAGTGGGTGTGGGAGAAGAAAGACATTTGGCTGTTCTCACGCCCACTCTGAGTACGCACCAGTGAACACACCTGACTACACACAAGCTCTCCTCATTTATTTATACTTAACTTATTTTTGTGTGAAATAAATGGAGGGCGAAATCTTAGAGCAACATCATCAAACAGTCTGTGGTCCTTGGGAATCTTCTTTGTTTTTTATTTTTTGACTTCTGTAGCTTTTCAGTTGCAGATGTTGAAATTCATAATGGCTAATATGACAGATTGTCATGGGTGATTCCACTTCATCTTATTTTTTCTACTCTCACTATATAATCTTGCCTCATTTTTTAAAACTTCGGAACCAGAGTATTTCAACTGCCTAGCAGAGTTTTTTTTTTTTTTTTAAGCTATATTTGCTCTTCCCAACAATCTAACATGAATTCCATAATTGGGTAGAATATATTGGAAAAAAGTTTCTTTTTCTTCAATAAATGGAATTATATATATCCCAGATTTTCTTATTAAGTTGTGTTTTAAACTAAGTTCTTGCTTCCCAAGGTTTCATTCCCCCAAAACTTTTCCAACCATTAAAAGAATTGTCTTGTTTTCACAGGTGTATAAATAGGTTAAGCTCTGATTGATTTAGTGAGAAACCAAAGTGACTTTCAAAAATACTTTCAAAGGCACCAGAAACCCTGCTTCCTTTGGCTTCTTTTCTTTTGTGTAACCTCCTGTTCACCTTCTGGTGAATAGAATCTTCAGATGAGGCTTATTGAATGATTCCTCCTCAAAACTATACTTGAGGGCAGTGGTGTGCTGAAGCCAGCTCATGCCCACTCACAAGGGACAACTGTGGGAATTTCTTCCCAACTCTGCACTCAGTGACCTTGTGTTGGTAGCCATGAGCTACCCCATGAGCCCTCATGTTGAAATTGGCCATAGTGGGAGTATTTACACCACAGAAATTCGCAGATGCTATAAAGCACAGTTTTGCTTTTTTTTTTTTTTTTTTTCCTAGAGAGCTGGTTTACCAATATCACTGCTTGAAAATATCACAAAAATCTGGGGATTCTTCTGAAAATATTAATGCCATCATATTATGATATAATTTACACGATATAATTGTGTAAAATCATGATTATAATAATGTTTCAAGAAACATTTCTTAAATTCCCAATTACTAGTTTAAGTGAGTTAATCTAATGAACCAAGTCATGGGCGAAGCATGTAATGTGCATTATCTAATTTATTCCTCACAATAATCACGTAAGTATTAATTAGTGTATTCATATATGTTATTACCTATAATCAGATTATTAAATTATTTGTCCAAGGTCACTAGCTAGTAAGTGGTGCTAGGATTTGAATCTGGCAATATCTATTACCAAAGCCTTTGTGCTGAAGTCATATGCTGTATAGAAAGGTAATGTCTAGGTCCTCCCACCTAATGTGATGATGATGATTATTATTATGATAGAAAACCCTTGTGCAACATTAACCAGGTGCCATGGATTTGTTTTATATCATTCTCGGTATAGATACTAACATTTATTACTATATACCCATTTTACAGAGAAGAAACAGAGGAAACTCATTTTACAGATGCAGCAACGGAACTGAAGTAGCAAGAAAATGGCAGACCCTGGATTCAAACCAAGGTCTTCTGAGTCCTTATACAAAGCTTCCATTTTTAGAAATAAGGTATATATATATCACTGAGTTATGCTAAGATATTGGCAACTTTCATTATATGATATCAACAAATAACTTTTGTTAATATTATGATCTCATCAGAAAAGTTTTTAAATATTGGGAAGCTATCAAGCTTGGAAGCATAAATTTTGTCATTGGCAACAAACACTGTCAGTTGCTTCCCTTGAAGAGATGGACTCACTTTGTTCATTTTTGAGAAAATGTCTGCCAAACACCTGAGTCTCAATAACCACAGTTTGTTGACTATTCTTTCAAGTAAAGGTAGTGTTCCATAGAAAAAGCAACTAGTTCATACAGCAGGTCAGACAATCACACAAGTACCTTTCTCTTGAAACTGACATGCATTCTGCTTTGGCATACAGTAGAAATGCCTGAAGTGCAGTTTTCATATCACTCAGAATAGTTAAAATGGCATATACCAGGGGTCAGAATTTAATACACTTAATAATTTTTACTGCTTCATCAAGGATATTCCTAAGTGGAATTGGCATTTTAAAAATTTAAGTGTGTGGCAGTGAAGAATACAATAACTATAAGTACAGTTTGGTGCCACTGCCTTGATCATATTAAGGTGCAATTTTACTTACCATTGCTTTTGCACCATTAGTGCAAATGTCAATAAGTGGAGAAACGTAAATAACTTCTTAGTATTTTTATAAAAATAGTTTTGACCTCACAGAGCTCCTGAATGTGTCTTAGGAATCCCCAGAGATCAGGGGCCCTACTTTGAGAATCACTGATGTAGTTTAATACTAATTTTATAGTGAGGAAACTGAGGCCTGTGTTGAGGGGAAGCACGTGATTTTTCCCCGAAACATACAGAATGAAGACTAAATCGTAGCCTTTTGTGTTCAAGGTCAAAGTTCTGCCCATTCCTCAATATCAGGCTAGTTGGTCACTAATATCACAGAACTGGAAGAGATTAAAGGAGAGTAGCTCTTCGGATAATATATAACGTTGAACATTCCTACACTGCAACCTTTATTGTGAAAGTGCATATATATCAGCCAGGGGCCTAGTAGGAAACAGAGTTTAACTTGGGTGGTTCAAATGATAAAGTTTTAGTAAAGAGACTACTTGGAGACTTGAATGCAGAGCTAAGGGAGCTATTGAGGGATGCTGAGTCGCCCAGAGACTAACCACCAAGGTAAGCCCTTACCATGCTAAGGGCAGAAGGGCAAGTGAGATAATAGTGTTACCAAAGTCCACTGAGAGCTGCAGTTGTGGCAGAGGGGCTTATCTGGTGGGAGCCATAGGGACTCAGCTGCTGTGAGGGACATGGAGTCTGGGCAGGGAGGAAGCAGGACAGAAATACCCAGACCATCTCTTCTCACCTTCTGACCTCCTTCCAGTGCTTCCCATTGGCTAGTACTCTGGTGAGAGCCAGTTATGAAATCCTCTGGAACCAGCCACTTGAGAAGACAGCAGGTTAGAGAAGAGTAGAGATTGGATCTGGGTAAGGTTAGGATGGGGCCAAACTGAGAATAATAGCACAGGTAGAAAAGTCTACATCCTTCCTTATTCCTCTGAAAAGCAACCAGTATTACTTTGGGCCTAAAGCAAACCATCAAGTAACAGGATTTATGAGATTTGTTTTAGAGAAGGGGAAAGTAAGGGGGTTATAAGTAGAGGTAAATAATATCCCTCCTTGGAGCCTTGTTTCAGAAAGAACCAGGTAGGGTGGAGTAGGAGATGGCAGCGCCTGGAGAAAGGGAAGTAGATTGTGTCCCAGGCCTCAGTGTAAGGAAGATAGAGATATTCAGGGAACTACCTGTCCCAGGCCTTAGAGGAAGGAAGACAGAGTTATTCAGAAGTTGGTGCAGAGCTGAATCAACTGCAGCAGACTGTTAAAATCACAGGAAGTCTATAAAGAGAGGAGTCAGCATAGTTGATGGTTCCTAGACATGGGACCAAAGGCTGTGGCCAGAAGTGTGCTCCAGGGAAAGGTAGAAGAGTCTCCACCTTCCACACCAGCCCTTGACTCTGCCCCATGGTTTTCCCATAGTAACTTTCACTCTGCTGACTCTCTACCTACACTCTGTACAAGACAACTACTACACTGGGCAGGACATTGACCAGCTATGTGGCCTTAGGCCTTCATGATTGAGGCCATGGGCATAAAGTCCTCACTAGTCAGGTGCAGCCACAAGTTAGCTCAGGTCACACAGATCAGGTTGGAATGGGGGTGGCTGACTGATTAAAAGTCAGGATTTTCTTGGCCTAAAGCACACATATTGCCTGCAATCTTCCTTTATCTCTAGGCCCTAGGATGGGATTAAGGCTGGAACTGGGTTTTCAGGAAGCCCACAGGTTGAGTAGAGTCTACATCTATATATTGTGTCTAGATGGGGAAATCTGGACACCCAGATTCTTTAGGATACGTGAGCAGCATGCTATGGAGAAAGAGTTACCACCAGTTGGAATCAGGAGGATTCCTCCATGAGTTAAAAATCCTAGCTCTACCACTTTATTGTTGTTGACTTTGGACAAGGCTTTGTACCTCTATGAGTTTCTGTTCTCTCATCTGTAAAGTAGGGATAATACTCCTGCCTGATCTCCCTCTTAGGGTTAGGATTAAGATTAGGGAAGATCATTTGTATGGAAATTCTTAGTAAACTATAAAGTTCTGTGCAAATGTAAGTTGTTGTCATCATCATTACTGTCATCATTTTGGAAAGGACTCTATAGACGACCCAGTACTTCACTTTTGTTATGCTGGGCCCCCTTGACAGTATCCCTTCTAACAGAATTCTTCATTATTGCTCTCACATCTCCACTGAATGTCTTTACTTTCTCTATTATTTGACAGTCCTCAGGATCATGAAGTTTCACCCTATATGAAGCCATAATCTGAAAATTCATCTGTTTGTCCTAGCGTTGGTGTCTATCTCTTGGCATGTTATCTGTTTAACAAAAGAAATTACTCCCAAATTTAGTGGCTTAAAACAATGACAACTACAACAACAGCAACAACAGTAACAACAATAACAAATTTATTCTTATATTTCCTGTGGGTCAGATTTTCAGAAATAGCTTAGCTGAGTGGATATGGCTCAGGATTTCTCATAAGTTTCTAATGAAGATGTTGAAAGCATTCACAGAATGGCAGAGCAAGGGCTCCCAAAGTCTGCTTCTCCATAAAAGCAATGAGAACACTGTTTAAGATTGTAAAAATCAATTTTTTTCAGAACTTTGAAAATTAATTAAAGGCTTGCAATAATCCAAGGAGTTCCAAAGAAAAAGGCCTGAATCTCTGTAAGAACAGTGAGCTTTGTAGTGTTTAACCTGTCTCATTCTCATACCTCTCTCCCTAGCTCCAGGGTATTCTTAAAGACCAGCAGCCTCAAAACTACAATAGCTGTAAAAACCAGCAGCATAGCACACCAACATGGCACATGTATACATATGTAACAAACCCGCACGTTGTGCACATGTACCCCAGAATTTAAAGTGTAATAATAATAACAATAATAATAATAATAATAATAATAATAAAAAGAAAAGCAGCAGCATAGCAGCTCCTGGAAGAAGCTAAATGAGTTTGGAGTTTCTGTAAAAACTCCAACTAGACATCCATATGCAAAAGAAATCCAACTGGAAAGCTACATTATGCCAAACACAAAAATTAACAGAAAATGCATCATAGACCTAAGTATAAGAGCTAACACTATACAACTCTTTGAAGTAAACATAGGTGTAAATCTTTATAATCTTGGATTAGACAATGGTTTCTTGGCTATGATATCTAAAGCAAAAGTGACAAAAGAACAAATAGGTAAATTATATTTCACTAAAATTAAGAACTTTTGTGCTTCAAAGATCACCACTA